TTGTGGTTTTATTTTGGCTCCCAGTTTTGCCCTCTTTGATTAGTTGAGTGAATATCTCTATCAAGGTTAAACAATGCTAAACATGTTTTCTGGTATGCAGGTGGTTGATAAGCTACACTGGTATGTTCAAGATGGTGATATGGTAAGGGTTGGTTTGTTTATTTTAAATGATTTTGTTTTTTCTTTTTGGTACCTGGATATGACTGACTAGGCTGTAAATTTTGCTCTAATACAAAGAATTTCGGATATGCTGAGTCTTGAGTCAAGGTGACTTTCAGATTATGTTCTTGTGGGTGATTAGATTTGTTCAACTTCTAAGTTATCCAACAAACTCTATTAACAGGCATTTTCATTCTTTCGAATGTACAGTTGTGCTTGGTGATGATGGCTTTGAGAATAGGATTGGTTTTACTGGACTTGCAATCAGTTACTAGAAATATATGTTCTATATTTTTCTCCCCCAAATTATGTTAAAGATTCTCACATGCCTGGGAAAGCTAAATTTGAATCTACTTATTTTTTCCTTACCTTTATTTTCATTAATATTCTGTATCCATGACATTGATTGTCTGTTGGACAGATAGTTGACTTCTGTTGTGGGGCAAACGATTTTAGTTGTCTAATGAAAGAGAAGCTCGAAGAGACAGGGAAAAGATGTTCCTACAAAAATTATGATTTGTTTGAAGCCAAGGTAGTTTACAATTTCCTTGGGACTCAGATAATTTTTACTCTATTTATATGGAAGAAATATGCATTCTTTATAATCTTAGGTATCGCTGTACAAAGGTCGACAATCTGTTTGACCCAGTCATTTTTTTGTAGAAGAAAATACATGGTCATTTTTCTTGTCATCATTCAACAATGCTGTTGTGGATTTTGGTAATTGTTGGCTTAATAAGAGAAAGTGAAAAAGGACCTTCAGATTTTTTTACTTCATACTTTTTTTTCATGAAGTTTGGAAGATAACAAAAATTAGAATGACATGAAATTGATATTCTGATTAACGGTCAGGGGTTGTTAGCTAAAGGAAGAATGTAAAAAGTGGATAAGGAAAGAACAAGGAAGAAGGAAGGAATAGAAAGTTGTTATTGTCCTTATCTTTCTCACCAATATTGTTGGTCTGCTCACTGCCATTTGTTGAGTTGTGTATCTACAATGTTTTTTGAGCCAATTTGCAACTTGGACCAATATAACTTTCGAAAGTCAAAAACACCACGGAACTTATTTTGGCAAATGAACTTTGGTAACTCTTTTGTGGTTTTGTGATATAGAGCACTTACCTGTTATTTGTTGAGTTGCCCATGTATTTCTGCAACTAGATGATATATAGTTGGGAAGAAGCAATATATTGGGGTTTTTCTGGAGACCCATATTCTGAGTCAAGCTAAGTATCACAACTTCTTTTACCTGTCCTATGTTTGTCCTTTTTCATTCAGCGTTGTGTGTGGTAAATATGAAGGGAACATACTTTGGAAGTTCTGTTATTTGGTACATGAACTTGGTCTAATAATCAACTTTGTAACTCTATATTTTACCATAAGGCTAATTGATTTTACTGCTTTTTGTTATCTGATTAATTATAAGATGAAACTTTGGGCTCTCTCCTTTTGGCAGAATAGTTTTAATTTTGAGCAGAGAGATTGGTTTACTGTCAAAAAAGAAGAGTTGCAACCAGGGTCGAAATTGGTAAGAAAAGGACTTTTCTGACAGAAATCAACATATGCTATTTGGTACTGTTGCTGATACTATTATGCCATTTCTTGTACTTGGTTCGTGTGTAGATCATTGGGCTAAATCCTCCTTTTGGAGTTAAAGCAGCTTTGGCAAATAAATTTATCAATAGGGCCATTGAATTTGATCCAAAGCTCATTGTTCTTATTGTTCCGCCAGAAACTGAAAGGTCAATACCTTGCATCTCTCTTGTTAACATTTTGTTGACTGCATATCTATGTCCATGAAATATGGTGTCTTTTCAAGAAATTTTTTATTTTTCTGTGGAATAAAAAATTATTTTGTTGCCTGCTGCCAGATTAGATCAGAAGAAGTCATCTTACAGACTTGTTTGGGAGGATAATCAGTCTTTGTCAGGAAAGGTAGAGTTCCCTCGTGAGGTTTAATCTCATTGCTGTTTTTCAAACTGGACTTCAGTGGTACCTGATTCGGGTATCATCTTTTCAGTCATTCTACCTGCCTGGGTCCATTGACCAAAATGACAAACAACTGGAGCAGTGGAATTTGGTTGCACCACCACTTTCTCTTTGGAGCCGTTCTGATTGGGTTGCAAAACACAAGGAAATAGCTCAAAAGCATGGCCACTTGTTCACACCACATGTAGAGGACAGAAGCAATGAAATTAATGTCCCTGCTCATGCAATGAGTGATTGTGCTGATCTGGACAATATTTCTGCAGTGATTGATGATATTGCTGTGCAGAAGGATGAGAAAGAGGAAACTAGACAGAGAGTAGGCACACCAAAAGGAAATAAAGAAAACTTTCGCATTGACAGAAGTGAGAGCATGCCAAAAGGGGATAGAAAAAACTCCTACCTAGACAGACGGGAGGAAGCGTCAAAAAGGGATAGAGAAAACTCGTGCCTTGACAGACGGGAGGATACACCAACAGGGGATAGAGAAAACTTCCGGCTTGACAGATCGGAGAGCATATCAAGAGGGGACAAAGAAAAGTCTGGCCTTGATGGACACATGGCATCGAGGAAGAGGAAGTATGGGGAAAGATATACAAAAATAGATGATAATCCATGTGTAGGTGCAGACCCTACTCTAACTGAGAAATATAAAGGAGCTTCTCGCCATTCTCCATTCACTTCAGCAGATGAAAAATCCACATTAAGAGGTACTTCGCCTAATAAACACTTTGAATCAATGGACAAACTGAGTGCAGATGATTTTGGCAGAAGGCGTGGTGAAAACCTTGAACAAGAGTTTACAGCCCACTTGGGAGATGACATAGGTAGCCTTGACCGAAGGCCCTACAACAATGTAGGGAGGGAATTTAATTTGCCTTCACCAATTCCCCTTTGTAGGCAAGATCCTGATGTTTTCACTCAAAGAAATCACATGTCAGGGCATGATCCTGGATATGGTCATACGGGACAGAGGCATGATCCTAGATTCAGCCAAATGGCATCAATGACATCCACCTCTTATGAACATTTGGGTTCTCCACTTGAGTCATCTTACAGAATGAATACATCTGCAATGCAGCGATATGCACCTCAACTGGATGAACTGAACCACACTGGGATGAATTCTTTTGGATCTGGAGAACCCCTAGTTAGGAACCATGGCATTTATGAACCGAGAGGATCCCAACCAGCATCCCTCCTTAGCAGCAGTAGCACGATGTATGATCATAGACCACCGCAACCTGGGTCCTTTGTTGGCAACAATGGCGTTCATGATCCTAGATATCGTCTTGATTCAGTAGAATTTACTCCTCGTCCTCCCCACCCCTACCCCTACCCCTACCCATACCCCTACCCCAGTTGCAGATCAGCTGGTTGGCTCAACGACTAGATGCTTCATCGTGCATCCATTAACAATGTGGCTAATTATCTGCACTGCCTAGTGAACTGCTGCTTGTACTTTTCTGTCTGTACAAAATCTGCATCATGGTTAGCAGTAGATAAACTCCGTTTTCTGCAAACTAATGTCCCGGAATTCTTTGCGGGAACTTTCCGTTTTGTCCATGTTTTAGTAGCAATTTTCTCTTAGTATTTAATTTAATAACATAGAAAATGAAAAATAAAAAATTTTAAAAAAAATTTCAAATATTCACTTCCTGGTCCATTAGAATTATTTGTATTGTCTAAATTTATTATTTTTATTAAAATCAATCTTTAATTGTTATAATTTTTTAAATTTCATTAAAAATTAATAAAAAAATTGTTAATGTGTTAAATTAATGATTAAAATATTTTTATCTTATTTTATTTGAAGGTTAACAGTTTAAATAATAAAATTGATTAATTTACGATAATTTATTTTCTGACAAGTTATTGTGTTGGTTAATTTCGTTTATTTAAAGAAACCATAATGGGGTAGTACTGATCAGGCATTTTTAATTTTAAATAAGAAAATAAATAAATAAAAAGCTGTTGATTTTATTATTTTCATAATATATTTGTGTGGTCCAATCAGACACTCATCACCCAGCTGTGTGGATGATGAATAAATAATAATGAAAAAGAAAAAGATGAGCGAACAATTGATTAAACGGTGAAGATTGAATATTGTTTTACTTTCAACGGCTAGGATTTCATCAATTACACCCTTAAAATACAAAGCCCAAACAAAGAAATGATGAAATCTAAGGATCTGATTCTTTTTTGAAATCTGCAAATACACATTTTATCTGCTTATTTCGTTTTAAAACTATTTCCATGTCGCAAGCTATCTGACTTTGACCACGTATCCCTCTTTTTTCTTAAACCTTATTATCGCACGGTGAAGCTGATAAGAAATTTAGAGAGCGAGAGTTTGGAGAAGAGATGGATGGAGAGTTAAGGAACTTCATCGAGGTATGGATTTCAGCCATAGCTTCTCTGTGTTACTGTTATTATGTAGCATCGAGACTACCTAAAGGTTTCTTAAGGTTTCTCTGCGTCCTACCTGTTCTCTGCATCTTTATCATTCTCCCTCTAAACCTCGCTGCTTTTCACCTTGTTGGCGTTACCTCTTTCTTCCTCGCCTGGCTCGCCAATTTCAAGCTTCTTCTCTTCTGCTTCGATCGAGGTCCATTAGTATCTCCGCCTCCCTCTCATCTCTTCCACTTCATCTCTCTCGCTTGTCTTCCCATAAAATTCAAATCCAAAATTAACAAACAATCATCTCCATCTCCAAAACCCAGTCCCTCAGAAACCAACTTCATATCCGCCGTAGCCAGATCACTCTTACTAGCTTTGAAAATCGCTCTCGTGGTTATCCTATTTCGTGTCTATGAACAAAAACCAGATCTAAACAAGAATGTAATCATGGCCCTTTATTGCTTACATGCATATCTCGAACTTGAAATCGTTCTAGCTTTAAGCGCTATTCCGGTTCGGATCCTCTTCGGGTTCGAGATCGAGCCCCAGTTCAACGAACCATACTTAGCCACCTCGCTCCAAGACTTCTGGGGTCGCCGGTGGAACCTCATGGTCACCAGTATTCTACGCCCGACCGTATACGATCCCATCAGACAGTTATCCAGCCGTATTTTCCGATCAACGTGGGCCCCTTTTCCGGCCGTCATGGTTAGTTTTCTGGTGTCCGGTTTCATGCACGAGCTAATCTATTATTATCTCACTCGAGCGCCGCCCACGTGGGAGGTCACGTGGTTTTTTGTGTTGCACGGGATTTGTACGGCGGTTGAGGTGGCAGTTAAGAAGGCGGCGGTAGCCCGCGGGTGGCGGCTTCACCGAGCGGTTTCCGGGCCGTTGACGGTGGGTTTCGTGGCGGTGACGGGCGTTTGGTTATTTTTTCCGCAGTTAGTGAGGAACGGGATGGATGAGCAGGCGATAACGGAGTTCCGTTGGTTGGTAGATTTTGTTAAAGGTAAATTTAATTAATTAATTAATTTTGTTATTTCTCTAAGTTAGTTTTTAGTTGGCTCGAACTTAGTTAATTAATTTTTTATATAGAATTGATTTAAAAAATGTAATATATACGTTTTATATATATATATATATATAGGAGATCACCCATTAAACCCACATGTATAATAAATATGCTATGTACTTCATGCCCTTGCTAAACTCATTTGTTACTCTATTATATTACCCTACAAAAAAAAAAATAATAATAATTATTGGATCAAAATGTAAGAAAAACAATACATGTATATAAAATAGTTTTTATCTATTTATTTTTTTAATATTAAAAAAGATTTTTAATTTTTTAATAAAAATTATTTAAATTAATGGGTAGGAAATTATTAGTCATTTAATAATTGTGTACAAGTTTGGAGACAATTGGGTCACAGTCGCCACTTTCTTGTCTGTGAACTCTCTCATCAGGAAATGCCAAAGTACTGAAACAGTAAAACAGTAATTACCACAGTGAATTATCCAAAGTAATTTATTTCATTCTCTTGACTTTCAAAAAATGTTTAAAACTGTTTGTTTAATTTTCAAAAATATTTAAATTTCTCCTTTGACTAATTAATTACTCATTAATGTAGTTAAGAATATAGATGTAGACACTACGTGCATGTCTCATTATATATACATATATTATGTAATGTGTGTGTTATTAAATAATTAGTGTATATATATATATCATAATTCTTTTTGTTTTTCGATGGGAAGCAACTGCCCTTATTCTATTCTTTAATTTTGTATTAAAAATTATGTAATTATATTTAATTAAGCGATTGGATAAACTTTCTCACATGCTAAAATTAAATTCGATCAAACACTCACTGAGATACGTCCAAATCCAAATCCAAATCCAAATCTTTTCTTGTATTCACGCTTTAAATTGATGCCTACACACATGGAATCTCAAACGATACAGCTCAAACTGTATGTGTCTTTATCTATACGTACATTATTAAATATACGTGGGCCGAACTGTTAGATTACATCAAGGAATTAGAAGGAAACCGAAAAGAAAACCAGAGAGAACACGCCGATGGAAGACTATGAATCTGAAGTGAAGAAGATAATCAAGGTATGGCTAGTGGCTCTCCCATCTCTGACCTATTGTTATTTCATAGCCTCCAAAATCCCAAAAGTCAAATTCCTGAGACTTTTTTCTCTAATCCCTGTCTTCTTTATCTTCTTCACTCTACCTCTTTTCCTCTCCTCCGTCTTCCCTATCGGCCTCACCGCCTTGTTCCTTTCCTGGTTAGCCAACTTCAAGCTACTCCTCTTCGCTTTCGATCAAGGCCCGCTTTCGGGATCCGACCCGCCCCCGTCCCTTCTCTCTTTCATTGTCAAAGCTTGCCTCCCCATCAAAATCAACGAAGATAAAACCTACCCATCTGGTCAAACTCCCCAAAATTCCACCCAGAATCTAAAAAACAAGCCACCCAAGTTGGGTATCGGTTGGCCAGTCAAAGCCTTACTTCTTGCCGTGTTCATCGTCTTGCATGATTACAGAGATCAAACGCCGCCAAACGCGGTCTTACTTCTGCGCTGTTCATTGGTTTATTTATTAGTAGACTTTGTGTTTGGCATATGCAGCGGCGTCGTTTTTATCGTCCTCGACGTGGAGCTCCAGCCACCGTCCGATGAGCCGTTTTTCGCCACGTCCCTCCAAGATTTCTGGGGACGAAGGTGGAACCTCATGATAACAAATCTGCTGCGACACACCGTGTACAAACCTATCAGATCGTGTTTGGGGAGCTCATGGTGGGCCCCGGTTCCCGCGATGTTCGTGACTTTTTTAGTCTCCGGTTTGATGCACGAGCTCTTGTACTACTACGTCACACGTGTGACTCCCACGTGGGAAGTCACGGCGTTCTTTGGATTGCATGGGGCGTGTGTGGCTGCGGAGGTAGTTGTGAAGAGATATTTTACCGGCAGGTGGCAGTTGCCGTGGGTGGTGTCGACGCCGGTGACGGTCAGCTTCGTTATGGTGACCGGCTACTGGCTGTTCTTCCCGCCGGTGGTGAGGACCGGCGCCATGGCGAGAGCCATTGATGAGTGCAAGCTCTGTTTGGACTTTGTCAAGAGCCTTGTGCTTATCAAAATATAAGTTAATTACCAATTTGTTGTATTGAAAGAAGAATAGCGTGCATTTTTAACTGCAAACAAATAAAAAAAGTTATTAGAAATTAATAAATTTATAATTTATCGGAAATTTAGTGCCAATGTTCTTGTTTTTATAATTTGTATCTTGAAATTTCATCATTAATTAAAATTAATACAAGTATTAAACTTGCTTAGTTTAGATAAAAGTGACAAATAATTTATAAACACTATGATTAAACAACAAACTATTAATGTCTCCATCAAATCTTTATAGTGTCCTACTTGTGATATTTACATTTAAATCACTTTAGCAACACTTAGAATTTTTATTTTTTGCTTTTATAAAGTACAAATTGCATCCATATATCAAAGTCAAAAATTCATATCTTTCTCGGGATAAACTTGATTTGACTTAGAGTCAATAATAATTTTGACTTAAAATAATAAATAATTATTTTTTAATTTCAAAAAATGAATATATTAAATTATTTTATTTTATTTAAAAAAAAATGCGTATAGATTAATTAATAATATAATTAATGACTTCATTTGATTTTTTGAAATCAAATTAATTTATGAGTAGAATATTAATTTTTCACCATAATGTTCAATCTCAAACCACAGCATCAGCCCAGTCCACAAATGGCCCAATTCATATTTATTTTCGGTGCCGAACGGCGCCGTTTCGCACGGTTTCTTCATGTTTCTTATGTGCAGTTCACAAAAAGACGAAGACATTTTGAAGGGCGCGTTGGGTTTATTCATATTTGTACTGGTCAAAATGGTCAGCTAAATGTATATATATTTGATTATAATATTATATTTATAAGTATAAATTATTATTTATATTAATAATATATTTACTAATATAAGTATACTTGGATTTATATTTGTCTAATAAAGTAGAGAGTCCAAGTTTTCTCTTTATATGATATTAGGTGGTCGGTTCGAATTTACTTGTCCTGATTATGTTCTATTTCTAACCTTATAGTAATGTGGATGCACTACAACGACATGCTGAAAATATAATTAACTTTGAAACTAATGTATTATTTTATTTTAAATTCCTAATGTTATTCATTTTTTTTTTATAATAGTTATAATTTGAACCGAAATTTATTCTTATATCATTTGTAGATTTCTAAAAATAATTTGAATTAAAATGATGATTCTAAAATATACATGTGAGTATAAAATATAGGGAATAAAATAGATTTAAAAATTAAATACGAATAAAATTAACATACTCGTATTAAATCAAATGAACTTGAAACTGAATCGGGAGCGTACCTGAATCTATAAAAAACGAAAATTGTACGTCCTATATTAAATATTATAAATTAGCACGTAATTTTTTAGAATTCTTTCACTCTAATGATGAGATGTCATAATATAAAATTATAAGTGTAATTTATGGACTATAACAACATATTTATAGGCAAACATAATGTCCAAACTAATTTAATTGTAAATTAAATTAATTATAAATACAAAATTTTGATTTTTTTAATTTTAATTTAATGTAAAAATAAAAAAAATTTGATAGAGGATGAAATTAAAAATAATTTTGAAAAAAAAAAAGTGAAAATTTAGATTGTGTGAGTATTTTTGAAATAAAAATCAGAAACCAGAGATAACATACTCATATTAAATTAAATGAATCTGAAATTGAATCGAAAACGTACATGAATCTATAGGAAAAAAAATTGTACGTCTTATGTTAAATATTCTAAATTAGTACATAATCTTTTGGAGTTCTCTCATTATATTTATTTCCGATGATGATATGTCATAATATAAGATTATAAGTATAATTTATGAACTATAACAATATATTTATAGGCAAACGTAATGCTAAATTAAATTAATTATAAATATAAATTTTTGATTTTTTTAATTTTAATTTAGTGTAAAAATGAGAAAATTTTGATAGAAAATAAAATTGAAAATAATTTTGAAAAAAATAGGTGAAAATTTAGATTCTGTGAGTATATTTGAAAGAAAAATCGAAAATCAGGGATCGAAATATAATATAGAAAAGTTTTGATAGAAAATGAAATTGAAAATAATTTTGGAAAAAATGGGTGAAAATTTAGATTCTGTGAGTATTTTGAAAGAAAAATCAGAAACCAGTGATAACATACTTATATTAAATTAAATGAATTTGAAATTGAATCGGAAACGTACATGAATTTATAGGAAAAAAAATTGTACGTCTTATGTTAAATATTCTAAATTAATACATAATCTTTTAGAGTTCTCTTCTGATGATGATATGTCATAATATAAGATTATAAGTGTAATTTATGAACTATAATAATATATTTATAGGTAAACGTAATGCCCAAACTAATTTAATTATAAATTAAATTAATTATAAATATAAATTTTTAATTTTTTTAATTTTAATTTAGTGTAAAAATGAGGAAAATTTGATAGAAAATGAAATTGAAAATAATTTTGGAAAAAATAGGTAAAAATTTAGATTATGTAAGTATTTTTGAAAGAAAAATCGAAAATCAGGGATCAAAATACAATATAGAAAAGTTTTGCCACGTAGGATGCCCGGTCAGCAGCCCCGACGAATCATGACGCAGTGCATGGCAACGGGCGTTGACGTGATGCCACGTAGGAAGCCACGCGGGCGATTCGCGTGCCCGCGATCGAACGACTCAAATTCGTTCTCGCACATAAACAACCCAAATGCGTTTCCTCCCCAAACGTGATTGGACGGTCAGATTTAAACAAGATCAGGCAGTCCAGATTAGATCGCGATGAATGACCCAAATTGAATCACGATGAATGACCCATATTAACTCCCTATTTAATCGCGATCGGACAGTACAGATCACACGCGATGGACGGTCCAGATTAAAGGGGGATAAGTATAAATAACTATCTTCACACCAAACCTTAACCTTAGCCGCCAATCGCCCTCGCTGGAGAAAAAAGACCCAACCGCTGGGAATGAGAGCTGCTGACACCCGTCGTCGCGCCGGAGCTACTTCCGACCGTCAAAAGAGGTAAAAATTTCTCATTTTGTTTGGAATTCAATTTTAAACAACTCCATGACCAAATCGGAGCAAGAGAACCGGCTGATTGGTCGAAAAATATGGGTGAAGTCTGGCGGCACCGCGCGAGAAATTTCATAAAACTCCTTCGATAAACCCCTTTCCGATTCCTGTTCAGCAAAATTTTTTCACCATTGTGATTATTGTTTCCTTCTCTAGAGGTTGACCGAGCAAAACACCCAATCGCAACGTGAACCGGAAGAGCCACCACATTAGAGACCCCCGCCGCCGATGAATTTTGATTTTTTGTGTTTTTTCAGCCAATCGAGGCCCCTTAACAAGTTTTCTCGCAGGGATTGATGCAAAATCGGTCGAATTCGACCGAAAACAGCTAATCCGAGGTAGACCGCTGTCGCGGGCGGCGGCGCTGTTACTGGAGCATGGTGGAGCTGCTGTGCCGGAATTAGCTAAAATAAGCTCTGAGACTGATTTTGGGTTTGTTTGAGATATTTGTAAGTACTTATAACACGTTTTGATTCTTGAAGAAAAATTCAGAGAATTCAGGAACTATCAATAGGCGCAGTTAACAGTTTAACCTTTTGAACATCAAATTGAGTAAGAAATATAAACCTTGAACATTTATTTCACTTCCGCATTTGAATTATAATTTATTTCATTTGGATATGTACGGGGTCATTGCACAAATATGTTTGATAACTTTTTTTATTCATAATTTGATCTATTATAAAATTAGAAATTACAGATCTAATCTCTACACATAACAAAATTCATAATTTACTTTGATGTATTAATGTCTAACATATCATTACCGTATTAGATAATTTATAACTGAGTTCAACTAACCTGATAGTCTTTTATACACAATAATTTATACATATAAGCCTACATAATGAATTATACAATTTAATATAAAATTATTTATTGTATAATTTTTTTTCTGGATTTTAATAATATGATAATTTAAATACAATGATCCAAATCTCCAAAAATTAAGTGGATTAGGCAAAAAAATAAAGCCCATAAAATTCAAGAGGATTCATAATTGCAAAGTTATGAATGCATTAGTTATAATATCATCTTCTCACAATATTTTGTTAAATTATAGTGTGTTTAGTTAAATGTATATCTTAAAATATAAGAAAATTTAAAAACTTAGTATAGTAACTTTAAACTCGAGATATTAATTGTGAACATTTATTTTTTAATTATCAAGTAATAGTATTTTAAAATAATAATTTAATAGTTAAATATTAATGGTGTATTAATTATTTAAACTTGAATTTATGATATGATTTCTTTTTTTATAAGACTATAAGAACTTTTTAAGTTTTATATAATACGATAACGAAAACTAAATCGGATTGTATATTATCTTTATTAAACTTAAACGTAATAATTATACTACTAATTTTTATATTTTTATAGGGGTGATAATTTGTGTGAAAATTAATTTTTTTTTAAAAATGAAATTAATTTATTAAATCTGATATTTTAGTATTTTCTCCACTATTTTGTTTTCAAAATTGGAAAAAGATATCGATTTTCTTTTGCTTTTATTAAGGATTTGGTGATTAAATTGGATAATAAATTTTAATAAATGTAAATTTTATTTACCGAATTACATTTTAATTTTAATAATACAGTAAGGGTAATAAGGTAAATAAACCTCACTTCTCCATTCCCAATTCACTTCTGTAAAGGAATCAAAATCCTATACATAGAAGGTCCGATACCTAACCCTCTGTGCTATCTGACTCTTTCCACCGGTGACTATAGCTTTCAATTCAACGTCGCCGGTCAGCCCCCTGCAGCTCAGCTATTTTTCTTCGTCACCTTCAGCTCCTTGCGACCAACCAAGGTGCCGGACGGCGAAGCCTTCGAGCGGAAAATCGAGACCCCATCTTTGATTTTGTAAGCTGGAATTTTGCCCGTACACTGATTTTGTAAACACTGAGCTAAAATCTATTAAAATTTCATAATTCTTTCTGTTCGATTACTCGTGAAATGGTCATTGTTTCGGGAGATTGTTCGGGTTTGTTGCTGGGGGATGTGTTTCGTGACTGACTTGGCTATATTTGGATACTAGGGTACCGAAAATTCGACGAATTTGATGAAAAAATAATCTGTTTGATAATTTTGGTATCAGTATCGGTTTTGCATTTCGTGAAATAGAGTACAAATCGGTAGTAGATTTAGACTCTAGGTGGTGTGGTTTGTAGATACGATTTGGGCAACTGTTTGTGATTTGGTTCCTCTTTTTTTTTTTTTTTTTAACTTATTTTTTCTTCTAGAGTTTGTGCTATTTGTTGATTGAGAAGGGTTTAATAATGATTGAATGAAGCTTTAGTGTAATTGGTTGACTTGGATGATTCTGAAATGACTATTGCTTGAATCTGGTTTCAGTTTATGTCTTACCGAGTTTAACTGCAAGCTGCCTGAGCGGCTTCGTGTATGAGATGCATGATGCATGCAGCTATGCACCTGGACATGCATTTATATTTAATGTTGTATTTGGCTTTACGAGGAAAGTTTATAGTCTATGGTTTCTGGTTTTGATTGTAGTTATTGGTCTTAGCCTAAGTTGTCCCAATGTATGATTGAATATTGTGATAGTTTATGTTTAATGTTGATCTCACTTTATGTCAGAATATATGTTCATAATAACAGCGACCATATAATTCGTACGCTATCATGGTTGTAATCCTCTTGTTCAAATTTATGATATCAATATTAGTTGCTGTTATGGTGATTAGTGTTGGTTTCAATTCTAATTCTAATTTCTCATTGCTAGGAGAACTAATACTTTTTTTTTTGGGTCAGATTTAAAGTGCATGCCAACATAGTACCTGGTTGGAAATGGCTAGTGGGACTTCTGTTCAGCCAAGCATGACCTATGATTTTGATGATGATGATGAGGGACCTATCATTTTTAAGAGGAACACAACATCTAATCAAAATCAATCAAATTCAAATGCCCAGAGGGCTAGGGTGGTACCATCCACGAAGGCGTCACCAATGAAATCTCCTTTAGCAAGCCAAAATGCGTCAACTTCATCTGCCAAGGTAACACCAGTAAGGT